GGGTTTCTGTCTATTAGTCATCTGTGTGGACAGTCTCTAAGGTTGAACGTCTGTTGTAACCATGAAAGGCCTTTTTATGCTCAATCAAAGCGTGAATCTGGGCCTCAGGGAGAGAATAGCTCGGTTCACCCCTGATAACAACCTCACACACACACACACACACACACACACACTGCCAGTGCTGCTGAAATGTGTGTTTCAGGATCATGTTTGGAGCGATGCCTTCAGCCACTTGAAGAACATGGTTTTTCCTAAAGGTCATCTGCACCAAACCGGGGTCATCTGATTTAGCAAGTTGTGTTTGACTAGGCCTGTGTGTGTGTGTGTGTGTGTGTGTGTGTGTTTAGCTGAACTTGTGGGGACAACTGCCATAGTTGTGGGGACACTGTCCAAGTGGGGACATGTTTCTGGTCCCCGCTGAGTGAGAGGGTTTAAAGTTAGAATTGAGTTAGAACGGGAATTAAGGTCAGAGTAGAGATAGAATTAATGTGTGTGTGTGTGTGTGTGAGAGAGAGAGAGAGAGAGAGAGAGATCTTTAAAGCTGTCAACATTCTTCACCACATGCTCTGACATGATGCATAGAGGTGACTGGTGAGGTGAACCAGCTGTCCCTGCCTGCAAGGTCAACATTCACACACACACACACACACACACACACTCTCACAGACTCCTCTGGTCTGAAGATAAAAAGATTACCACCAGGTAGAGGTGGTTGTGTCTCCGAGGTGTGGCACTGAAGTGATGAATCTCCGTCTCTGTCTTTCAGGTGGAGGAGGGAAGAGAAACGGCCGCAGTAAGAAATGGAAGGAGATGCTTAAACTCCCGCACATCAGCCAGTGTGAGGAGCTTCGCCGCACCGTTGGTAAGACGTGCAGTGTGGTGCTGTGTGTGTGCGTGACTGTGTGTGAAGCTGGATGTGCCCATGCAGTGTCACTGGGGTGTGTCTCACTGTGGGGGGAAGTTCAGATTGAACTTCCTTCCTGCTCTCTCCCGTCTCCGCCCGTTGTTACAGGCAGTGAACAGGAAATGCTATGCACGTATGTGAATGTATACAGTACGTGTGTGTGTGTGTGTGTGTAGGAGTCTCTAATTTCACTGTCTCTCTTTTGACATTTTGGTGTGTCTCACTCACTGTCTGCCTCCTCACCAACTCCAAACGTCTCTTGTCCAACGTCCTTCCTGCTCCCTGAAGACAGAGCAGGATTTTATCTTTGTGGCCCAGACAAGTGTTCTACTCCTGGGCTGTATTATCTGCCCGTCCCCTCTACACAGCCAGCTTCTCTGAATGCCACAGCACTTGATGTGTGTGTGTGCGTGTGCGTGTGCGTAATAGTGCGTCACAGCTATCTCTGCCAGAGATTGTGGTGCTCCCCTCCCCCACGTGCCCTCCCACTCTGCTATCTTCGTGCCTCCCTGGTCCAACAATCTGCATCGCTCACTTCTTTTTCCACCGCCTCAGAACAGAGAAGTGGAACAGTGGAGGATCTGATCTTTGAAGTTTAGCTACGTCACATTGTAGTTGTTGATTAAACACATCCTTTAAGGAAAAACACAGTGTTTAATCTGCATCCACAGACATTTACACTTCTGTCTGGATGACGTGCATGTTCTCTATCACCTTTTTTTAATTGTTCTCTACTTTACATTTCTTACTTTTTTACATTTTCTTACTAGTTTTATTGTTGGATTATTCAGCCATGTTCTAGTCTAGTTTATCAATTAAATTGAAATGAATTATGAATGTATTTACTAATATCCGCAGGTCCTTCAGAAACAGTTTGACACTGTTCTGTGTCTGACCACAGCTGTCTATGAATCCCTGAATCTTTACGACCATCTCCACCTCCCCTCTCTAACTTCATCTTCAAACCTCTCCACCTGAACTGACTCTCTGATCTGATCGTTTCTGGTCCTGTCCATCCTGGTCACTCCTCTGAACATCTCAGCATCTTCATCTCCCTAAGAGCCTTGACACTGGGCCAGTCTTAAACACACCTGTGAATTTACACCTGTGTCAATACCAATAGATACATGTTTTTTGGTTGGACAAGTAACAGCCATATTATCACACACTCCCCCTCCCTAGTCCCCTACAGGGGGCCATGTGGGACATGACACACATGGTAGCTAAGTCAGAGGGTCACAATAGGTGAGATAGGGTTCACCATATGGAACAACTCCCAGGAGAGTGGTCCTGAAATCATTCTTGGGAGGGTCACCAGTGTTTCTACTCCTGGCCTTTGTCGTTTCTGTCTGCTGTGATTGAAGGTGTTCTCCCCGAAAACACGGCTCCTGCTGAGGAGCAGTGTTGAAAAGAGGATTAAAAATATGGATATATATAAATATGTGTGTGTGTGTGCGCCTGCCCGTGGGCACATGGCAGCAGTGTAGGAATACATACGTCACTGTTACATAGACCCTATTGCGTAATTTCCCTATCCCAGCGAGTGCAGGATCAAAATAATCCCTGTGAGTACTTAAACACACAGACATGTCGGCATGTGCATGTGCACACACTTTTGTGAGACACGCACACACAGACACACACAGGTCCATGGAGTGTGTAGGCAGAGTGGGCTGAGGATACAGTACAGCAGCTGATAGCTGTGTCTTTGTTGTGTCTTGATAATGTCAGGCATTTGACCTTAGCCTTGACGGCGGGGCTGTATTCTAGGAAGCCCAGATTACATTATGAAGGCTGCAGCCACTTTGTCTGCCCACCTCACTCAGACCCTCTCTCCCCCACCACCCCCACCCCGTCTCCCACTCACTTCTTTTTCCTGGTCGCTCTACAACACACACAGGACATGTTACCTTCACTCACTGCCATGTTAAGCTTGTTTTACCTGCTCCTCAAACCCATGAAAGGAGGCTAACTGGGGCTAACGGCTGTGCTGTTTGTGTTTGTGTACTTGGCCTACACACATGCACACTCATGTTTGTGGTGCACACTCACCTGTCACACTGACTCAACATATATTGGCCAAAATTTGAGTTTTTTAATTATGATATAATTGCTGCTCACCTCACTGATGAGTCACTGGTTTACTAGTTTGAACTAGTTCATGTTTCACCATAGCCTTCCTGCTAAATTTGAATGAATCAACTCACGTAAGGCCTCGTTTTTTTATGCTGCCGATGTAACTTGATGATGAAACAAAAAATGAAACAACAATCGACCGTGGGAAAGCATTTACTTATATATTCCCAGACGACATGCTGAATCAAACAAGTAGCACAAACACCTAACGTTAGCTACAACAGTCCTGGTACAGATTATTTTAAATTGCTCCATTCTCTCATTTGGATTAAATTCAGTGCAGATATTGAAATTACATGTTGCCTTTTATTATTCATTCATCTTTGTTCCATTAAGCCCAGGAAATGGTGATTATCAACCATCGAAAAATGACGTCTGGTTGGAAAAGCGTTGGTAAAGTTGGTAAAGCTTTAACAGACAGTGCACACACACACGTGGACACAGGTCACTTCATTTCTGTTTTTTTTCTAGAAAGGACAAAAATGTGCAGAACAGACAAAAGAAGACCTGAAACTTATTAATAGTATTTCTGATCACGAACTCTTCAGGGAAAGGTCACTGACCTTTACAACTACTGCATCATTACCATTTCTTTTGTGTTTGTTTAGTTTTGGTTTCCAACCATTTTTTTGGCTCCGATATTTTTAAACATTTATTAATAGTTTCCTACCATGAATAGTGCAGCCGTTCTACGAACAGCTCAGAAGAAGTCCAGCTGGGTTGTTATCTGTGTGTAGGTCGACGTAACGATTTGTATCTGTTACATTTACAGGAATCTGCTGTGTTTTATGCCGTTGACTCTGTGTTATGAGAAACAAAGATACTAAAGCCCTCGCTGTGCCGCGGGGCGGAGTCTGTTGCCAAGATACAGTTCTCCGTGTACCATTAAAAATGTAAACCCATTGTGGCAGAATAAACACAGTTGATACTGTACGTTAATGCTGACACTGTGAAACCATAACAAAAGCCTGTTACTGGGTCAGTGACAAAGAGGAGTTTGTGTGATGTCCACATCAAAAATTTAAATTTGTTAAAACAACGTTAGGTGTTTGTTCCAATGAGAATTTGCATTTCTGTTGGTGTCACAATATTTTATCTGACATTTCCACTAGCACTGCTCGATTAAGGCAAAAGTCCTGATCACGATTATTTTGATTTATACATGTTATATATATATATATATAACAAACAGGACAACATTAATGCCCTGACAGTGGCAATAATCGCCTTGAGTTGTATTTGCTTTGTTTACATTGCAAAAGTTAAGATGTACGCTAAATATTTCATTTAATTGCCACTGTATAAAAATGCTGATAAATGGTGCAATAAATCACATTAAACATCATCATTAAAAAATGTTATTGTCTTAAAAAATGCGGTAAATAAAAGTAAAATGTTATCTTTATTTCATTTCTTAAAGGTTTAACCCGAGTCCAAGAGAGGTTAGCCGAGAATGCTAAATGTTAAATGAGGTGACGTGTGATGAGCATGGATTTCACATTTGTTAATCAGTTTCTTTCTAATAGAACGCAGCATTAACATCCACACCTGTACAGTATTATTGAACCACACCACAGGAGTAAAGGTCCAGACTTCAAACATTTACTCTCCGTACAGTGTGTGGGGTTTTCCCAGCTCACAGCTGATGGGAGGAAAACACCAAGGCAAACATCCACCGTTCAAAGAGAAAAGTCAGCATCTGAAGGCAAGTGCAGCGTCATGCTGTTTGTAGAGAACATAGTTTTGTTTTTTTTTTACAGAGAAAACAATAAAGTCACTCTGATCTCTTTGGCAGCGTAGTGATTGAAGTACTGGGGCTAAAACAGAGGCAACAGAAGGGAATGCTGGGTAATGAAAGTCACAGCTGGAGCAGGACTCATATGAAGATTTGATTTAGCCGACCACTGGAGGTTGTACTGTCACTACCGAGAAACGTTCATCCCATTCATGAGTCTCTCCTCCTCCTCCTCCTCCTCTTCCTCCTCCCTTCCTGCTGCTCCTTCTCCACCTCATTCTCCTCCTCCTTCTCAGAAACATACATGTGTTCCTGAACGTGTGTGGCCTATTCTAGTTTGTGTGTTTATCTTGCGTGTGTTTGTGTGCATGTGTGCGTCTTGACTCTCTGACAGTGATGGAAAACGTCCTGGGTCGTCGTCCTCGTATGGAACCAGAGGAGAAATGACTCAATTGGACATCATTAGTCCTCATAAGCAAAGGCCAGCTGTACAGAAACACACACACACTCAGGCAGGCAGAAAGACACACACACACACACACACACAAAAGCGTAATGCTTTCCCTCACCTTAAATATTACTAGGGTAAGAAAATATTGATACACTGAAATATTGTGATTTTTTTTGTATTTCACGATACCGTGTGGATGTTTCACAGCACTCATCATTTTTCTATTAACGAGTAACATGCAAATATTCTCGGCGTAGGTTCATTTTTGTGTTGCATTCAGACCTCGGACCACCAGTTGATTGTACAGGGGCTGTTTATATTTGCAGGTATTTGAGACTTTGAGTCAAACGATCTTATTTTTTCATTAGTTTATCCCAAAACTCCTGCAAATTCTTTTGTTTCTTCTCTAGTGATTACAAATGCAGATCCCTCTGTTCCAGTCGTAGTAACCTGATGTTGATAATGGAACAACATTGTGTGTTTACTGTGTTCACAGTTTTCCTACAATTAAATTGTTCAAAATCAACCTCAAAATATCGTCGTGCCTAGAGTATTGCACCATATCACTATATATATCGTATCGTTGCCACTGTAATGTGTTACCTGGCCGGTTCCACGTTGAAACTAAAGTGTGATCATGCAGGTAGTTGGAGATGGGAACTGAGCAACAAGACCTTCAGCCTTGGACCATTATCCTGGAACCAAAGCAACATCTCTGTCCATGTTTGACCGTTGCTCTCCTTCTTCTCTCTCTCTCTCTGTGATTCCAGAGAGGGACTACACAAGTCTGTGTGAGAAGCAGCCCATTGGACGGCTGTTATTCCGTCAGTACTGTGACACAAGGCCGGAGCTGAAACGCTGCATCGAGTTTATGGACGCAGTGGTGAGTCTTTAAAACTTTAGGACTGAAATGTCTTCACTTTTCTCTTTTTATCCGTTAGAACAGAACTTCTTTCACATCATCTCCTCCCATCTCTCTCTCTCTCTCTCTCTCTCTCTCGTGATTGTGTTTCTGTGAAAGCTCAGAACAGAAAGGGGAAGTCATTTTTTTGCTCGCTCTTGTTGGCTGTAACGGGAGGTGTGGGTGGGTGGGTGCAGGCAGGGGGTGATCGGCTCCTGATACAGCTGTCAGAGAGCAGACCCCTCCTCTTCCTCCATGCACTCCTCCATGAGGTCAAGCCCACGTCAGAGGCAGGTCCCCTGGGTGAGCAGGCAAACACAGGCCTGAGCTTGTGTGTCTGCCCCTGGAGGTATGTGAGAAAGGAAAACAGGGGCTGGAGGGACGGGGGATTGGGAGTGGAGGGTGAGGAAGGGGGGCGAGGGGATCATGCTTATTTAATAAGAGACTACATTAGTCATTTTCAAGGAGGCCAGACAGGCACAGAGTGAAGAAAGCAGGAGTTTCATGAACTCAAAAACAAGAAACAAATTATTTCAAAATGTGTTGTTTTTAAAATATTTGGTCAGTGCTCTTGTACAGAGTGTTGATTAGATTCTGCAGGAAAACTGTGCAGCCATAATAACACAGAAACAGATAAAAGGCTCAAACAACAATCCGTCAGGAACATCAGTTCCTTCATCTGCAGAAGAAATACTTAGAACATGACCTTTTCTTCGACTGGTGTCTGACTTGTTGACACTAGTTGACAGAAATACAACTAAGGACAACAGTATGGCTCCGTCTACACCTCCCCGGTCCCTCTGAGAGTTCATTTTCTTGCCGTAATGTGGCGGTGGCACGGCTTGGTCACGGTTCCATCAGCCCGGCTTGTTTTCAGACAAAACATACGGCTGGAGGCAGTCAAACTCCAGACCATCTCCCTGCCTACAGCCATATTTGACCAAAAACACAATCTGTGATGGTGCGATGTGTGGAAATGTGAGGCATCATCCTGGTAGGTGACAGATGCCACAGAGTGAGCGCGAAGGCAAACATGTTTGGCAGTTCGCTGCTTTGACTGAGAGGAGAAGATTTTGTCATCAGAAGCAGTGACGCCTGGTCAATTATTCATCTTCTACTCTCTCTCTCTCTCTCTCGCCCTTTCTGCTTTTCTTCTTCTTCTTTTTTTTCAATGCCACCCTTTCATCACCCTCTGCCCGTCTGCTGTCTGTCTCTGCCACTCTGACCTTATTTGGAGCGATATTAAAGATGGTTTAATGAGTGCTGGCGTGATGGTTCACACTCTCCTTCTTCTTCTCTTTTGACAGGCCATGTATCAGCTGGCTCCTGATGAGAAGAGGAGGGACTGTGGACTGAATATTTTAGACACATACTTTAATAACGGGGTAAGATGTAAAACACACAACAGAAGACCAGATGTGCTTTCAGGCTGATACTAGGTAGCCCATGGCCTTGTGGTTGCAGAGGCTTGTCATCAAAAGGTTGCTAGTTTGAATCCCATAATCAAAAACTCCAGGTAGGGTGTAGCCCACTGTTCCTGTGTCACAGATGGGTCAAATAAAATGCAGAAATATGTACCGTGACGTTAAAGGTGTGGTCTATGCAAACCAAAAATCTTTTAACCAAGAGAAATGAAGGATGATGTCACCAGGGTGTAGGAAAAACTCCAACCAATAAATGATTGATTGGTTCTGTGTCCTGGCAGACCATAGATCACACACATTTAAGTCAAGGCTCCCGTTAAACCCGTTCCAGTTCTGTTCTGGTGTTTAATATTTTCATGTAGTTTGTCTTTAAATCAGAACAGACCAACGTCAAACTAACATTCTTCATTTTCTCCCTAAACAAACATCAGTGATTTTGAAACAGTGGGTATGGTCAGTCCATGTGTTGCTTCCAGCAGGTGTCATCTTTGTCCAGTGTAGTCCGGAATGAAGATCTAGCTCTGTTTTATTTTTTTTATTGTTTTTATTGTTTTTATTCTTGGTCTTAATTCATACAGTAAATGTTTGTAGATCTGTCGTTAATAAAATGAAGCTGGCCCTAATGTTTCTTAAATCGATGTTCAGTATTCTTGCCCCCGCCCCCCCAGCCGTGTCACTCACTGTAATCTCTGTGTAAACACACTGTATGAGGTGATGGATGTAGACGAAGGCCTTAATTGTAGATTAAATACAGTCTTAAATGCAAATTACTACAAAAACAAATAGAGGATTTAAAAATGTCACCAAGGAAAATGAAGCATAAACTGTGTACAGTCGGGGCAGGTCAGAGAGAGTCACACACTTCAGGGAACAGGAACCAGTAACAGCCCACAGGACGGCATGAGGGTGTTTCAACTGGTGGTTCCCAAACCTTTCCTGGCCTTTGTAGTCACACAGAGACCTATTCAGGCGACATCTTCAAACCTCCTTCATGACCTTCACGTCATCAAACTGAAAAACTGATTTTATTGAACACAGACGTTGATGTGACACGACTCAGAAGCATCTCCTCCACTGTTGGACGAATAAAGGAAACATTTAAAGCGAAATTCCTCCCACAAGGGCTCTGTGCCTCATGGGGGTCCGCCCCTCACTTTGGGAACCACTGCTTTAAACCGTGTTATTTACAGAACCAAAGACTTACTCCACTGTGGTCAACTGTCTCTTTGTACTGCAGCTCGAGTAAACAGTCTGGGTTGAGACTTTTGTTTTTATGATGAATGAACGAACCGTGACAGATGAACTGTTAGCACACACTCCACATCACTGTGTGTGTGTGTGTGTGTGTGTGTGTGTGTGGACGCCATCAGAGAGGGACTAATTGATCGTGTAATGTTGTTTCATGTTCTGATCTGGTCCACATTACATTTGACTCATGCTTTATCTGATCCCTGTCTGTCTGTCCTTCTGTCTGCCTCTCTGTCTGTCCTTCTGTCTGCCTCTCTGTCTGTCTTTCTGTCTGTCCTTCTGTCTCTCCTGCAGTCAGCCGCTCATCTGCCAGATATTCCACAGGACGTGGTCTCCGGCTGCAGAGACAGGCTGGAGCAGAGTCCGTGTAAGGAGCTCTTTGACGACTGCACCAAGTAAGTCCTCTCCATCAGCAGCAGACACACGTCCCTCACATGTCCCACCCCCTGGACACTTGGTACTGTTAAATCAGGTTACTATGGTGCTGGACCTGGATGACGTTGTCGTTGTTCTCTCAGGCTGTCTGTCAAAATCAGGAGGCAGAAGGAAAAAAAAACCCAAATCAAATGATTCACAGTGACTGTGTGTGTGTTAATGTTTATGGAGTCTGTAGAGTAATGCAGCCTGTCACTGGTGGTGACCAGGCAGCTGCTGGAAGTTGTGTAGTAACAAACACACACACACAAAATGTGTTTGCAAAAAACACATGCACAGTGGAGGCGAGTGAAAAAGAGCAGTGGGCAGCGAGAGCATCCGGACGGCTGGCACGAAAACAACAACCACCTCAGTGTTTCCCCCTCACACACACACACACACACTCACACACACACACACACACAAACATGCAGGTGTTTCTGCTTCCTGTTCACAGAGGCCCGAGAAGCAAACAGACCAGGGATTATTACTCTCAAATATACTTACCTTTCACACACACACACACACACACACACACACACACACACACTTCAGTGTGACGTTGTATTAGCCGATCATTTAATTCTGTCGTGGATGGGTTCTGCTGCTCAGGTTTGAATGAATGATATACTGTGGAGGTGAATGGACCTGGTTGTTGCCGAAATTGATGCCATTTAATCAGAAAAATCACTGAAATGTTTGGAAGGAAAACTCTGAGCTGCATGAGACGAGGAAGACGAGGTAAACGGTTTCAGCCGTCTTAAATGTTCCAGTGTGGACCATGCAGCGTGAAGATAAAGGTCCTCAGACACACGACATAACATGGTTGATGACACATGCACACGGCGTCCTCTCAGAGAACACCCGGGTTCCGTCAGCCTCGGCCGCGACCGTGTTTCTACAGAACTGTGGAGAGGAGGAGAGACTGGAAATGCTGTGACTAGTCTCTGAGACACTGGAACCCTCATCCTCCCCACCCTCCAGGGAATACTGGAATTGTCTTGATGAAAATGAGCAGAAGTGGGAATCATAGATGGGAAAACACTCCGTTATTTTCCCAGCCTGCTCCTGTGTTTTGGGAAACGGCTTGAGGAGAGTTGTTTCAAGGATGTTGGATTCATAAAATCAATATTCCACAGACGTATGAGGAGTTAGTCCAGCAGAGAGGGCAGAGCCCGGCCGGCTGTGTCTCTTTTATGTCTTCTGTTTTTCTGTAATGTTACCATTCATTTCCCTGCTTGTCTGAGGAATAATTAGGTGAATAAAAGAAGAAAAATGACAAAGTGGCAAAAGTGAATAGAAGTGAAAAGAGGAAACTTTGAGGAGAGTTGTGAAAACAACTCAGGCAAGTGCTGGTTCCTGAACGCCTCACGGCAGCAGCAGCACTTTAGCTGTTTTGAATGAGATTCCTGTTCAGACTCTGCCATCACTCCTTCCACTATCATCATTATTTGTATTCCGCTGTGGCATTTTTTTTTTATTTTCTTTAATTTCCCTTTTTTAAATTCCGTAAGTGACTTCCAGGGATTACTGGCTCTTTTCTTTCTCTCTGAGGGGAAGCCTGTAGGAAAGCGTGGTGCTGCACATGGAAACGTGACATTTGGCAGAGCCACACACACCCACTGGAGGAGAAGCATTAGCTCACTCATGGATTTTGTTCTGCTGCAGTGGAACATTTGGTTATGTCATAGCCAGAGTAGAGCGTGGCCGCTCAGGTCATGTGTTATCGTGTTACTGAGCTCTCTGCTGATTTTTCTGCCCTTTTTCTTCCTCCTCTGCTTCTGCCTTTGTGTTAACAAAAGCCAGATTGTAGCTTTGTTCACGTCTCCTCGCAGCATTGTCTCTGCCTGGGAACCAGGCACTGCTGGGCTCCTGATGATCGGACAACACACTACGTCCAGTCTCATCTGGTCAGTTGTCCACGTTGTCCACACGTCTCCTGATGATGCTGTTTGTCCTTTGTTTGGAGGAAAAAACAATTTCAATATTGGTTAATGCTGAACTGCAGACACACAAACGTATCACTGTGGGGTGGGGGGGGGGTGTTGCAGGTCGAAGTTGGTTTTGTTTTGGATATAGAATGGTTCTGTCTTGAAGCCATAATAATTATTATATAAACATGACTTCATGACTGTCCAAAAGTGTTTTTAACAGCCTGATCACTGAGCATGGCACACAGCGCCAAAATGAGGCAGACTTCAGCAGAGATAGTTGACGTTAGCGGAACATAGCTGTAACCCTGTATCAGAACCAACTTTATCTATCTCCTGACATAATATTTTTTGAATTACTCCTTTAGTGCAGTTCATGTGAAAAACGTCAGAAGGCAGAAAATGGTTTTGTTGTCGGTGTTTGTGTGAAGTTCTGGTGGTTCGACTTGGTCTTGACTTCAGACGTTTATATGTTCTTACTTTTAAGTCTTGATTTATTTCACCTAAAGTTTTTTTTAAAGAAATGCAGGAAATTGTTTCAAAAACATCGACATATCAACAGTCTAATCTGGCTTCAGTTAGATTTAGATACTCATCTTCTAGTGCTTACACCATAACAGGGTTGAGCTGAAGCTACAACTGTCAGTTTTAGTCAGTTTTAGTTCTACAGTTTTAGTCAGTTTTAGTTCTACAGACAAAACAAAACTTAAATTATTGTTTAAAAAACTGGATATTATATTGAAGTTATTAAACAAAACAAAATGGACCATTGATAATTTATTTCACTCTGAGCAGCAGAAACCCCCGACTTTACAGGAATATTTCTGCAGCAGATCCAGACTCAGAGTGTGCAGCTGTCAGTGTCAGTTAGATGTGAACACAGAGGGAACAGATAGACCATCGGTTGACACCAAGTTGAATGAAGGTCATTATTGTCGTTGATCTCTGTAGAAGAATGAAGATCTCGTCTGGACCCGTGACGATGACTGATGGTAGAGGCCCAGTTCGTGGGCCAGGCTGCCAGCAGCCTAATGATGACATACTTGAGTTTTCTTTTACACTGCTGAGGTGCTTCCCTGGTGGAAACTCTCAGCTCTGGAGGGTTTTTGTGCCAAGAACAGCCTCCCCAGTGCTGCTGCTGACCACAGGCAGCTCTCCTTTTCCTCCTCACTGATGAAGTAATACAGTTTAGGAAAAATCTCCCGGCCAAATATGAGCATCTCTCCTCAGCGTTTGGGTGGTAGAGGAGTCAGCTCCACTTTGTAACGCTGGTATGTTGTGGTGAGTGTTGGCTGCTGGCGGAACACAGTGTGATTACACTGGGCAGCGGCGGAGAAAGGGCAGTTCTTCTGTTTGTTTCGTAACCACTGTGTTTTGGATCCAAATACAGCACACGGCCTCCTCACTTCTGTTCAATCTCAGGCCTTTATTGTGAAAATACCCATGTGTTTTCTCTGGTCCGTGTGGTCTTTACTGCAGGCCCGTCAAAGCTTCACACTCACACACAAACTACATTCAGAAACACTGTGTCCTCGTCCAATATGTGGGATGGACAGTTCGGATTGTTTTTCTGGACACGACTTTGTCTCCATGTTTTGGAATGATTTTTTCAAATAGAAAAAAATGTCGAGGCTGATTTTAATGATCTGGTTCCTTTTTGTTGCTAGCTGTAGCCTCGGTGGAACTAAGTGAAGAAGAAGAAAAATAACTTTTGTCCCTGTAGTCCTGTAGTGATCACAACCTAACCTGGGATTTTAGAGACTCGTTTGTTTTGAACTTGGAACCCTCTGATGGGGGGCAGTTGTCTACACAACTGTAGCTGCCATCTAATGGAAAAAGCTATTAACTAATGATAGTTATTACCGAAATGGTGGGCAAACCTTTACGGTCAGGGGGAGAATATATGATGGACAAATTCTGGACTGGGCTGCTGTCCACTTTTATATTTATGGTCCATTATTGAAGATGGTTACGTTTGGGCAATTTAGTACCAACGTTTATCAGGCCTAATTAAAATGCCAAACAGGTCATGTCAGGCCTGCGGGCCATAGTTTGCACATAACTGTTGTAATCTGTAAACATCAAACCATGCAGTGTGGAAAGTAATGGACATGGATGTTAGAAGCCGTAAACAAGTTCCCAGTGAAATACATGATTATGTACACTTCATATATACATACTTTATTTTTATATACACTTTATGCATGGCTGATGTGACACATCTTAGTTGGCAGTAGTGGTGTAAGAAAATATTATTACACTGAAATATCAAGATATTTCGTTTCACGATGTCATATCGATCTTCACAGAACTGTAGCGATTAAAAATCTAGATTCAATTGTTGAAAAACAATACTCATCGTATTATCATGTCTGTGGTTTTACAATACATTGCAATTAATCGTATCGCAATATGTATCAAATATCCAGATTTTTGCCAAAACACACCCCTAGTTGGCAAAGACATAGTTAGTTATTATAGTTAGTTATTATTATTAAACAGTTATTACATACTTACTGTTTATTATTATTTACGTACTTTTGCATTTGCTATGTTTAGTGTAGCTTGATTGTTGATTGACTGACTCAAATGAAAGAGTGAATGACACTGAAGATTACAGGAACATTTAAAGAGTTTAAGTTCATTTCCCAGTGTATTTATACCAACAGAACCGTCTCTGCCTCCTGCAGTTGACAGAACACACAGCGGTCCTGCAGACAAACAGCCACACAGCCCCTCCCCCTGCACTAGTTCAAAACATGAAGGCCGTTTGATGTTCACAACACTGACCTGCCATCCTTTATTTATTCGCACATTTTCCACTATTGTTTCAGTGAACTCTGCAGTCCTCCCACAGACACCTGAGTGTGAGGCTGTTCAGCTCAGCTCCGGTCAGTTTGGTACCAGTGTGTTAAAAAGGACACGGTTGGTCGGTCCAACAGGGTCTGTGGCCACGCAGTGGTTCTTCAAAGGACACTTGTATGTGAGGTCAGATGTTCGTGTCAAGGAGTCGTGCTCTAACAACTCTCACTGCAGTGGTGATTGATGTCTGGGCAGGAGAGGCTGTGATCACCACCGACCTCACCAGGGAATTTCTCAAAGATGAGGCTTTAGTTTTAATCAGACAGAACGTGGACGGTGGTCACAGGAATGTTTAAAGAGGACAAATGGATGCTGAGAACACAGTCTCTCTGTGAGGAGAAAAATAAAAGCCTGAAAAATCTTCCCTTTCCTGGTTGACTGGAGTGGAATGTTCCTGTTCAAAGGAATTTTTCATTTTTCACGGTGGCGTATCCACCGAATTTTTCCGACTTTCCACTGAGAGCAGCTTTGAACCGTAACACCGCCAGCGAAGCTTAGACACACACACACACACACACACACTCACACACACACATCAACAGGATAAATACAGATACACACACACACATGTGATCCAGGGTGTAGTCAGATAAAAAGGATGTGTTTGTATTCACTGCAAAGGTTAAAGGCCTGTTGTCAGGAACAGAGGTTCCCTGTCTCTGCGGAACATTTGGCATCAGATCTAAATCTTGGGTCTTTTGATGGTTTGGTGACACGTTTCTTGAGACCTTGTTGTTCTGAAACTCACCCCCACTCTTCCTTTCTCCCTGTCCTCCTGCAGAATAGTTCGTGATTATCTGAGCGGAGCTCCATTTTCCTTGTACCAGGAGACCATGTACTTCTCTCGCTTCCTGCAGTGGAAATGGTTGGAGAGGTGAGTCGTCAGTGTAAAAAAAAAAAACGCCCAGAACAAACACTTCTTTCTTTGGCACTTAAAAGAATTTTAACTTGTGATTTCTACACCAGAAAAAACAAACTTTCAATTTACTCAATAAAATCCTGGTAGTGCTAACATAGCATTAGCATGTCTCAAACTAATTTCAGTATGTTCAGACAATGTACTTACCCACATAAAGCCCACAGTTGCACTCATGGCTTGGTATCGCACATAATTGACCCTAGCAAAATGTAGCAAATGTAGATAAAAAATAATTTCCTCTTTCGGCCACGAAGCGCCTCTGCTTTGTCAACATCTCGTCTCGCGGCCGCTCTAGACATGTTTAGTTTAATTAAAATTTGCTCACCACTTTTCAGTTCGTTATAAAACGGAATGTAAACAGAATGAGAAATTGAGTAATAAATGTACTCGTCCCACAGAATGAATTTATTGCATGATTAAATTATTTAAACATTGACATTTTACCTTGTATAATAAAACAACAACAAGTTAGATGTTTAAAATAGATCTTCACTGTTTACCAAGTCAGAAGATGAAAAAAATGTTTTGTCAATAATTAATATTTTTCTCACGTGATAAGTGCCCATACAGCACATCCAGCTCAACATCAGCCTCACACACTGGAACACAAAGAAGCGACAAAGTCACGTGACTCAGCCCTGTGTTTGGTACACAGCACAGAGTCCGGTTGATGTGTAAAAAGAAAACAGTTATAATAATAATAACTGTATATTATTGAAATAAAAAGGGGACCAAGACACAAACACTGTGGCAGTATACACTTTACACTGACTAGTAGCATCAGCAGTGTTTGTACTAAAACACAACTTTGGTTCTGCCGTTCAGTGAGTGAATAATCCATGATGCTGCTGTGGTAGAGCAGCGGTGGGAGCAGATGAATCACACAGGACCATGTCATGTCCTTCATGGTCTCTGAAAATGAACTGAATAAAGAAATCAGACAACAGTTCTTAGCGTGGACTGACGCCACACACTCAGTGATCACTTGCTGCTTGCGTGGTATTGTCTCTCGTTCGGCAACCGGGGAAATATTTGGTTAAAAATTTTGTTCGTGAGGAAAAGGGAGGCGTTGGAAAACGGAGATTCCACTGTAAACCAAGCTAATTAAGAAGAATCAGCGTCGTTAGTCCACATACATAAACAAATTATTTTTGCTGCTGTATCAACACAGCGTAGTCTGGGCTGGCTTCGAACCCGTAATTTGTCTGACAATATAAATAATTATTTTACCGCTAGGCCACACACCGCCCCAAGTGGTGACGTTATTTAAAATGTATACCTTGAAATAAGTCCTAGACAAAACATTGACAAACTTGTCACTTCAATCACTTCACTGAAAAGCTACATCCATAATTAGCCATGACGTAGTCAGAATCTTCACAATGTGCTGGATGCTAATTTTATTGGGTTTTTTTTTTTTTTTTTGACAAAAGTGTATTCTTATTGTCTGTTTCTCACATTTTTCTTTCTCCCTCTCTTTCTTTCTCTCTCTCCCTCCTTCTCCTTCTGTCCATGGCTGCAGGCAACCAGTCACAAAAAATACCTTCAGACATTACAGAGTTTTGGGAAAAGGTGGATTTGGCGAGGTGAGTGGTCATCACCGTCAGGACACACAGCTGTAAAAGCCTTTTTTCAGAACAAACCCGCTCCTCACACATCCTCACATGTCTGGAAATGAGACGTTAATGTTAACAGTTTAAGCTGCGACAGGTAACCTTTAGCACAGCGTTAGCTTAGCGCTGTTTGTCTCCACTCCACACTGATGTGGCTGGAGGAATCTGTAACCAGACATGTTAACTCCCATTAGTTTTACTTTTAAAGGTTGATATTTACGGTTAGTAAGTACGTGTGTGTGTGTGTGTGTGTGTTTGCACTAATGTTTCCTTGCCGCCTGTTTTCCAGGTTTGTGCCTGCCAAGTACGTGCCACCGGTAAGATGTACGCCTGTAAAAAGCTGGAAAAGAAGCGTGTGAAGAAAAGAAAAGGTGAAGCAATGGCACTAAACGAAAAACGCATTTTAGAAAAAGTTAACAGTAGTTTTGTAGTAAGTACTACTTTTTTTCTTATTCACTCTTTTATCAGTCTTGTATTGTTTCCTGTGTCCTTGTGTGCATGTGTGCATATGTGAGTGTGTGTGCGCGCCCGTGTGTGTGTGTTGTTTGTCATCAGTCCAGGATGCTACAAATAAAATTGAACGGCATGTTTGCAGAGGTACAGTGTACGACGGCTGCTGTGGCCCGAGTCCTGTTTGTTTAGTGACGTTCACAGCAGGTGTTGGACCTGGAAACACACACCAGGACATTACAACCAGCAGAGGGCAAATAAGACAAAATGGAAATCACATGATCCACCTGTGGCACTAACGCTGCTGCGCCTGTGATCGTTGTGACAAACTCAGCAAACATGCCGCAGTTGGATTTTGTTTGGAGTTCTGCGTCTGTTCCTGCATGTGTTTGTCATGTGTTAAAAATGTTCTGTTATCACCTCACTAGAGATGCACTGATTGCAATTTATTGGCTGATTCTCAGTTCTGATTTTTTTTTTTTTTTTTTTTTGGTAGGTGTGACTCGCAGTTACCTTAATTTAACAGCCTTTACAGAAAGTAAAGTTGTTCAGTGCCAAATTTTATAATTCTCAAAACAAACACAACAACATTTCCCACAAACTCAGTCACAGGTTCTCTCTTCAGACCAGCACCGTTCAAAGTAAAGGACTTAGTGACAGGAATGAAGTAAATGTTTTTAATAGTCAATTAATTCATGACTTTTTACCTTGTCTGGAATAAACATATCCAGTAACTAATACGAGCAAAGTGCAAACTTGGTCAATTTCATGTAATGAGTTCAGTTGATAACCAGAGAAAACAAGGATTTGAACCGACAACATATTCAGGGACTAGGTGATACCAGCTGAAGTTAACAGTTAACCTTATTGTTATATACTTATATACTTTGAAGTACTTCCAGGCTAACGCCATGTTGGTTCCAGCATGTGAGTGTCAGCGCCCTCTCCTGTTCGCCAACACAGAACATATTTATAAAATGTTCAGCTGCAAAAACTGCAGTACGTGTGGTGACCAGTGGGTCACCAATACTGGCTGACCATGCCGAAGACCAGACAGTTCCCATCACTGGCCTGTGGATCGGTGCATCTCTAGTTTGTACCAGTGATCGCTCTAAGACAACAGTGAAGCTCAGCTTGTTCTCAAATCTCATTACGTGAATGGTCAGAAATCGACTGTTAAATTTGAACCAGATCAACTACAGGAGTAACTCCATCAGAATCAGCTGTGGTTTAGTGTGGTTTTCTCCTGTAGCAGTGAAGGGTATTAAACCCTGTTGATGCTCAGCTTCACTAGAATTCACTGGAGCAGCACTGGATGTTTTTTTTTTTCTGTGTGGACTTGGTGGTGATGGTTTAATGTAGCAAAAATGTCTCTTCCCATGAAAGCAAGGATTCAAGTAGAATTAATGAGCAGTGGGCGGGACTCATAGCTGGGCTTCTGCGTTATGATTGGATCAACTGTTGAAGTGGCAGAAGCAGTTTTTTTATTGATGAGTTTCGTGGAGTCATTTTGTTTGTGTTTCTCCAGTGTTGTCGCAGTTTCTGACCGTTTCTTCCTTCAGTTTTTTATTTTTCACATTGATCCTGTTTTTCTTCTTCTTGATGTTTATATCATTCTTCACTTTTATCCACCACAGATGGATTTCTATTGAAACGACCAGGCCTGTGATGGTTTCCACTTGTTTCACTGACACTGTTTATTACAGTTCTACAACAACTACATAAACACATACAAATACTCACTACATATTAGAGCAGCACAGTGTGTGTGTGCGCGCGCGCGTGTGTGTCCTTGTTCTGTCTCAAACCTAGAATCCAACACTTTCATACAATTTTGTTTTGTTCAAAGACAAGAGAACAGGTGTAGCAGAACATTATTTTAAAGCTACAGACTCTTGTTTTCAGTGAGATTAGAAAATGAAGGAATGACCCTGCTCTGCCCTGTGCTCTTCACAGTCACGCTGTTCTGACTAATTTCACTTAACAGTGTTTTATTTAAAGTCAGAAGCATGAAAAGACTGCAGTTTCTTGGCCTGGACTGCAAAGTTTGAACCGCTTCACTGCGAGTTACAGTTTTTTTGTATTTCTTCCACCATGTTGGTCTCCGGTCCAGTCCAACACTGAGGGACCAAACAGGAAGTCCTCTGAGATTAGGATCTCTTTCCAAGGAAAACTGGCCAAGGCAGTTCAGTGCTCTCAGCAGAACGGCAGTGAGCTGTTCATCAGTGCAGTCAGAACCCTGACGTCAACAACTAGTTAACAACAATTCCTGGAGGTTCTTCATCAACCAGACACGTGAATCATATTTAAGATCTAGACCAAGGTTCAGAGTCAGAGTGGTCAGCGTTTCTCAGGCTAAAACCTTTTTACCCAGAAACACACGTCAAACCTAATTATGAGGATGTTGTCATTCTGACATTTAGACTTTCTGAGATTGCTTTTTTTACTGTAACCTATTCCAGCCATCATCACTGTCAAACAAAGTTTACGGTTCAAATCATTAAAAAAACAGCGCCCCATAGTGTTGTTTTTAAATAGCTGTTTTAATGAACAGAGAATTGGTAGGAAGTTATGAACTGAAAAACGTTTGAATGTCTGAAAAGAAGGTGCTCCTTCATTTGGAAATATATGGCCTGACTTTGTATTGACAGGCAGATTCACACTTCCTGCTGTACAGGTATACAGTATACAGTATAAGACACATTTGTGTACTTTCACACTCACAGTTTGTGAAGTCAGAATATAAGGCGCGGCTTCACGTCTGTGAAACACAGTCCAGGTGTGATTCATCATCGACTTCTGTTGCAGCCACAGCTCTTTTCACGTCTTAAATCAGATCTGGGATCTTATTCTTTCTTACCATTTCCCTCCTTCAATCCTTTCATAAAAACATAATTCCTCCCCTCGACTGGTAACGTCAGGCGCCAGACGCAACTGGAAAAGCAGTGATGTGTGCTTCTCTTTCCATGTCGTCCATCCGTACGCACAGGAACGCCTCAGGTGCTCGGGAAAAGAAAACTTAGCTTTGGCTCGCCATCTCACTTCGGTGAGAAAAAGGATTGTTCCACAGACAAGAAAATTACAGCAAATGTCTGCTTCACATTCCTGGAACGTGTGAGAGAGCGACTGGAAGGATCATTTCTGGGTTCTGGGCGCGTGTGCTGCTTGAAATTATTTGGAGTCAGTGCAGAACATAGAGTAGAGCAGTAACAGCAGCAGTAACAGCAGCAGCAGCAGTAACAGCAGCAGCAGTAACAGCAGCAGCAGTAACAGCAGTAACAGCAGCTCCGTCACCTGGAGCCTCTGCTCATGTAGTCACTCTACATGTTGGATTAGTCTGTTTTAAAATGCAGGGTGAGCTGAGCTGCTTATCCTTGTTGTCAGTGAGTCATGGCAGAAACGTGTATAGGCATGTACACACACACACACACACACACACACAGTGGAGTGGGTTTGTTACAGAACCTCAGACTTACAGCTCTTATCACCTGGGATTGGCATATGATTTTTTCCGTGTTTGTGTGTGTGTGTGTTTGTGTGTGTGTGTGTGTGTGTGTGTGTGTGTGCTGCAGGGAGAACTGATGACTCTCCATGTGCCTCTCTACCTACGAGTGCAGCTCTGTTGCGTAGCAACACTGACCAAACAGCGGTAGCAAGGAAAGGAGTCAAGTGCTCTCTCAAACACATCATCTCTCTCTCTCTCTTTTCTCTCCAACTATCTGTGTTTCTCTCTGTCCACCCTTGTTCCTCTCCTCCTTTTCCTCATCGCTCTATCACTCTTCTCTCTCTTTCTCTCCTTTGATATTGGTTCTGCTTCCTCTAAATCTGCCACAGTTTCCTTTTTCTGGCGTGGATGATGGTGTGATTGACAGCCAGGCCATCCAATGGAAGCCTGGGTCGATCCTGACATCCATCTTCCCTTTAACTCGGCTCCTATTGGACGCCTGTGTGTTGTGCTGTATTCTCTTGTCCTGCGTG